GCCGGCCATGAATCTGCACCGATCGGTTCCGTTGGTGACACAGCTGCGGCAGAGATGGATGCACTTACATAACGCAGCCTGGCATACGTAGTGTGGCTGCTTGGCCCAGATAAGAGCCCAGCGCTGGCCATATGTTCACTGCAAACCCAGAGCGTTGTGCTGTGGGGAGCGTTCCTCTGGCTTGTTTATGGGGCGGCAGAGTATTTGGTGTGCTTTCCTATAGAGTTTTTCTAACCCGTTGTGTATTTGTGCATTTGAATCAGCCTACCTCTGGCTGTTCTTAAATGCAAATCTTAAATTGGAAACCTACTTGAGAAGCTTAAAATGGGATTTAGAGCAGGGCCTGAATTCTACTCTCAGGTAATTTAAGTTGACCGAGAAACTCAGGTAACCTCTTCCAACTGAATTGTGGCACTGGTGTGGAGCTTATATGGCTGCTGGGTCATGCAGTGAGTTCCTCTTCCCTAGGACAGCTTCAGACTCTGCTTAGCCTTGGTTCATGTCATAACCTGGAAAACTGTAACCCTCCCTGATCCAGGCAAGCAGATTTTTGCTTACTCTTCAGTATGCCACTGAACACGTCCAGTTAGCTTCATGTCCCAGCAGCTTTGCCTTTAGTTCTGCTACGGATGCTGCACGCACCTGCCAGTCAGCAGGCTTCATGCTCTGTTACCCTTCTAAAATATAGACATTAAATATCAGTTCTCAGCTAGAAAAGTGTTCCTGGCTTGGTTTCTGCTGGACATGAGGGTGTCTGGCATGGAGACTGCTTAGCTCTGTGCTCTTCTCACTGGTGCTGCTGGTGGCCCTGGGGCGGTGGGTCCTGCAGAGGTGGGCCGCATTTCCCTGGGCAAAACGAAGTTCTCATCTTTCTTATTCGAACACTGTGCTTCCCCACCTTCTGCAGAGGAGTTTATCTAAAGTCAAGATCTCTGTTTCAAAAAACATGCCTTTTGGGCAAAGAGGACAAAAACCTTTCTAGTACAATTAGGGAGTGGCTGGATTGTGCTGGGTACCTGCTGAGTGTCTCTTGATTGCCATGTGATAGCCCAGCACCATGACTGCATTTCACCCATTCTTGTCCCTACCAGAAGCTTGGGGCCACTCTCTCCTCCTTTCCTGCAATGTGAACGTTTTGTTTTTTGGTTTTTTTTTGGCATGTCTGTCTTGTAGCTGCCATTTGAGTTCCCCAGGGCAGGCGAGGGGCCTCCCGTGGATACTGCTTCTGTGGGACCCTCTACCATTGTGGGCTTGTGCGGTATGGATTGAGCACTTCTTAGACAAGTCGTTGAGGAGCAAGGTACAGCAAGAGCATGTGGCTGTTGCTGCTCACTGGAGTGGCACCAGTGGTCTCAGTCACAGAAGTGAGAGGAGCAAGTGGCAGCAACATCACCCACCACCTACAGCTATACATTTAAGAAACTTTGTAGTTTTAATTCATGTAGGACATCACGTGCAACGGTTGTGCTCATTGTAGAAGGCAGCTTGTCCTGGTAGATTGTATTCCGTGATAATTTCACTGTGAATAAAACAGTAGGTCTGATTTTGGGGGGCATGCTCAAGGTGAATGGCAGGAATCTGTGCATGCAGTGTGGTGCAGAATGCAGCATCTCGGGGGCTGGAAGGTGTCTGGCAGCCAAGGCCAGCCTGGTTCACTCCAGCACTCCTCCTCTGTTGCTGGTTTTGATCATTCCAGTTTCAACTGGAAGTAACTGCTTGCATTGTTCTCCTCTTTGCATTTTCAAAATGCAACGGGAGCTGATGCTGAACAAGCTCTTCTGCTCTCCCTGCATGATGGTGTCTATCCCCAGTGAGTGCTGTGCCCAGCCGTTCCTGAGCACCGCTAATAAACTGCTGCCCTATGGAATTTCAGAGCTGGAGGGCAGGGATCGGACACACATCAGCAGTGTCTGTGATGGTGAGCTGCCAGCGAGCAGGGCCGTTGCGTCGAGTTAGGTCTTGTCTGTTAGCATCACTTGACTCCTCTGCGGTAAGTGCCCTGACCCCACTGGACAGGATCAGGTGAGCAAGTCAAGGAAAAGGATGGTGGTTTCATTTCCAAAATAATGTTGGTTTTGACTGCAAACTATTTTCAGTTTGTGAATCTTGGCATGGCCAAAACAAGCCATTGGACAGTAAAAGTAAGGTCAGTTCTTCTTGGCTATAGCAGCGGGCAGGGTCACCCCGCAGAGTGGTGGCATCTTTCTGGGCAGCAGTGATTCTACCTGGAGAGGAGCAGGGCCCTGAGGATCAACTGGACCATGCCACCTCTGGCCAGGTGTGTTAGTATTTTTGTTTGCTCACCGTCAGCCCGCTCTCCCTCCTGGGGGAGGCTGCTGCAGCTGGGTATAAGTGAGCTCCCAAGGAGTGTGTACAGAGTGTGAGGAAGAACTTGGGAGATAAAGCAGGCTCTCAGCCCCCTTCCCTCGTACCCTGTGTTCCCACACAGGGGCAGATAATGTGATTAACATGAGAAGGTGCTGGGTTATCTCTGCCTCCCCTGTGCCGAGTCCTCTGCTACCACACAGACAGCATTGCCATGTCCCATCTCTGTCGTGACCCACGCATTAGTGTCATCTTGCTTAGGTGCTGGATGAGGTCTCCATGGGCTGCTGGTTCATATCCTCCTGATGCCGAATGAACATTCGAGCTGATTAAAACTATAAGTGGAATCTGTGGAGGGATTAAAAGCTCTTGAACAAGCCCCTGAAACAACGTGCGTCAATGGAGTGAGCTCTCTTGTCTCAGAGCTGTGAGCTTGGGGCCACTCAGGCAAGAGCCTTCCCTGAAAATGCTCCTACTCCAGGGAAGCGTAAACAGAAATGCTGCCTTACTTGCTAATGAAGCTGCACCACAGGAGAAATCTTCCAGAAAATTCCTTGCGCAA